TCAGTATTGCTTGTACAAATCACGACTTACGACTGATTCTGCTCGGTTCAGGGCTTGGTTCTTGGTGTCGCGACGTCGTTCAATTCACTACTACGAACGTTTGCCCCGACCATCTCCGGCTATATCCTAGATACTTTTGGCTTTTCCACTTTCGCTCTTATTGGCTCTCTGTCAACGGCTGTTGGACATGCAGCTATATTTTTCTTTCCACTTCAAGAGAGTTTATTGCGGAAGCCAAAAGCTGAATAAGCACACATCTTTGTGCTTCTAATTCTGTTTGTTCTCTAAGAACTTACTACCTCTACTCGATGGGCTTTAACTGTCTAGTCATATGCTGTAGATAGATTGCAAATTCACTCAATTTCTCAAGGGCACCTAGTATGGTAGAAGTATCACAGCAACAGAGATAGACGCCTCTATAATACAGTTCTCATCATTACGTACTGTCGGGCGGTTCAGTGCGGCTGCGTTTGGCGCGGGGCCAAAGTCGTTCTGCACCAGTTGTTGAAGCGGGCAAGTGACATTACTGTATTATATCCTCCGTATTACTCGTTTTCTACCACTTTTTGTCGCATACGCGTTTCAACAAAAAGGCTGAGAACGGCTTCAACAGTGTGCACACTCATACTGGCTGACACGCCCCACCGGTCCGCAATGATGAGGACTGTACGTCTCTCTTACTGGAGACATGGTTGTTGATGAAATTTTTCAGTGGGTATTTTGAAGTATAGGAACGTCATTACTATTGTTTCGCCAGTAAGGATGCCCAGATAACAAATCTCACTTCAAAATTGTAGATTATGACGAAGGTTGTGCAATAAATCGAGAAATCGCATATTAATCTGTCAAGGAGATCGGACAGCACATCCGAATCACACCAAAAGTAGGAGAAAGACGCATTAGAAGTGATATCACCGTAATCGCACAAGGACCTAATGATTCGACGTGGCAATGTTGCAAGGGTGTGAGACAAGACAATCGTAAGCTGCCACGCTAATGGGCGTGGCGAGCGACACCGCGGCCGGCAGACGAATTTTCCTGCCTGCCTGCTTGAGGATGAGGGTTAAAAGGACATTCGGAGTTGGCCATAACGAAGTTTTACCTGCTCTTGATGCTATGATTTTCGCTGCTATTGTCATGCATCTGACTCCCATACAGAGGTACTGGAAAGGTGTAACTCCCAGGTGAGGCTTCTTCATCTGAGCAGATGTGCTCATACGCTTCAGAAAGGTCCGGGCGTATACTGTGTTTTGTTTGTTTATAAGTTCATTACGTCGTCGTAGGCGCAAAGCGTAACCCTTGTCACTGCAGTTTCCCACTTCTTCTGCACCTTGCCATTGTCTTAAGGCAGCGCCCACGTTCATTTGATGTTCCCGCTCTCTCTCTCTCTCTCTCGC